GTGTTGTCTGCGTAGCAATGATAGGAGAGACCATGTGAGGATATGACAGAGCCAAGTGACTTGGTGTATAGAGGGAATAGGAGAGGGCCTAGAACTGAGCCCTAGGGGACATCATTGGTGAAAGCACGTGGTGCGGAGACAGATTCTCGCCACGCCACCTGGTAGGAGCAAGCTGTCAGGTAGGACGCGATCCAAGAGTGAGCAGCGCCGGAGATGTCCCTCGGAGAGGGTGGAGAGGAGGATCTGATGGTTCACAGAATCAAAGGCAGCAGATAGGTCTAGAAGGATAAGAGCAGAGGACAGAGAGTTAGCTTTAGCAGTGCGGAGAGCCTCCGTGACACAGAGAAAAGCAGTCTCAGTTGAATGACCAGTCTTGAAACCTGACTGGTTTGGATCAAGAAGGTCATTCGTAGAGAGATAGCAGGAGAGTTGGCTAGAGACAGCACACTCAAGAGTTTTGGAGAGAAAAGAAAGAAGGGATACTGGTCTGTAGTTGTTGACATCGGAGGGATCGAGTTTAGGTTTTTTGAGGAGGGGTGCAACTCGCTGTCTTGAAGACGGAAGGGACATAGCCAGCGGTCAAGAATGAGTTGATGTGCAAGGTGAGGTAAGGGAGAAGGTCTCCGGAAATGGTCTGGAGAAGAGAGGAGGGGATAGGGTCAAGCGGGCAGGTTGTTGGGTGGCCGGCCGTCACAAGTCGCAAGATTTCATCTGGAGAGAGAGGGGAGAAAGAAGTCAAAGCATAGGGTAGGGCAGTGTGAGCAGGACCAGCGGTGTCATTTGACTTAATAAATGAGGATCGGATGTCGTCAACCTTCTTTTCAAAATGGTTGACGAAGTCATCCACAGAGAGGGAGGAGGGAGGGGGTGGAGGAGGAGGACTCAGCAGGGAGGAGAAGGTGGCAAAGAGCTTCTTAGGGTTAGAGGCAGAGGCTTGTAATTTAGAGTGGTAGAAAGTGGCTTTAGCAGCAGAAACAGAGGAAGATAATGTAGAGAGGAGGGAGTGAAAAGATGACAGGTCCACAGGGAGTCTAGTTTTCCTCCATTTCCGCTCGGCTGACCGGAGCCTTGTTCTGTGAGCTCGCAATGCGTCGTCAAGCCACGGAGCAGGAGTGGAGGACCGAGCCGGCCGGGAGGATAGGGGACATAGAGAGTCAAAAGATGCAGAAAGGGAGGAGAGGAGGGTTGAGGAGGCAGAATCAGGAGATCGGAGGGAGAAGGATTTAGCAGAGGGAAGAGATGATAGGATGGAAGAGGAGAGATTAGCGGGAGAGAGAGAGAGCGAAGGTTGCGACGGCACATTACCATCTGAGTAGGGGCAGAGTGAGTAGTGATGGAGGAGAGCGAGAGAGAAAAGGATACAAAGTAGTGGTCGGAGACTTAGAGGGGAGTTGCAGTGAGATTAGTAGAAGAACAGCATCTAGTAAAGATGAGGTCAAGCATATTGCCTGCCTTGTGAGTAGGGGGGGACGGTGAGAGGGTGAGGTCAAAAGAGGAAAGGAGTGGAAAGATGGAGGCAGAGATAAATGAGTCAAAGGCAGACGTAGGGAGGTTAAAGTCACCCAGAACTTTGAGGGGTGAGCCATCCTCAGGAAAGGAACTTATCAAGGCGTCAAGCTCATTGATGAACTCTCCAAGGGAACCTGGAGGGCGATAAATGATAAGGATGTTAAGCTTGAATGGGCTAGTGACTATGACAGCATGGAATTCAAATGAGGAGATAGACAGATGGGTCAGGGGAAAAAGAGAGAATGTCCACTTGGGAGAGATGAGAATTCCTGTGCCACCGCCGCGCTGACCAGATGCTCTCGGGGTATGCGAGAACACATGATCAGACGAGGAAAGAGCAGTAGGAGTAGCAGTGTTTTCTGTGGTAATCCATGTTTCCGTCAGCACCAAGAAGTCGAGGGACTGGAGGGTAGCATAGGCTGAGATTAACTCTGCCTTGTTGGCCGCAGAACGGCAGTTCCAGAGGCTGCCGGAGACCTGGAACTCCACGTGGGTCGTGCGCGCAGGGACCACCAGATTAGAGTGGCAGCAGCCACGCAGTGTGAAGCGTTTGTATGGTCTGTGCAGAGAGGAGAGAACAGGGATTCAGCTAGCTAACTTGGTACAGTATTCTTCCGTGAAAACCGCCCAGGGCACCGTATCCTATGACGCCATAGCTAACTAGCATGCTAGCTTCCAATAACACGGTTTAGCACCAATACTCGGTTACAACAAACTACCAATAGTGTGTTAACACGCATTTGTGTCCGTGTCTAATGTTGTGTAAAGTTTTGGGGTTAGTTTTGACAGTTTGAGTGAGTACGTCGTCAACTTATTCAGCCTGTTAGTTAACTATCTAGAATAGTTAGCATATTAGCTAGCCATTGCTCTCTGTCATCGAACCAACCCCTCCTCCCACGGTATGAAACACACAGAGAGAGCCAAGCTAACGTTAACTAGTCACCCATGTCTTGAATTCCTTTTGAACGACTCTGGTTACCAGTATGTAAAAATAAAATTAAAATAAATGTAGGTTATAACTTATCCTTAGTAGCTACTGTTAGCTAGTTAAGTGTAAAGCTAGCTACTGAATCAATTTAGCCAGTTCGCGTCTGTCCTAACTGAGAGAAAGCGTCTCCAAACATTACAGCTAGGTCGGTGTGTAAGGGCTTCATCTTCTTCCTGTTAGAAAACTTCCTAGTTGCTTCACTATTATAGTAACTACATTTTTAAATACATTCAAAATCACATGGTTCATTTTGCAGATAACTAATGGTATGTAGTGGGTCTTATTTGGAGTTGAGTTATTTTATTACAGACTACATTTTTTGCAGCTGGCCTGTATCTACAGTTCGACAAGGGGTGGACCTGGAAAGTCTAACTATCTAACCAAATAAGTCCTGGTCGGATAATTCAGATTACTGGGCACTCATCTGTAAAAACAAGAACATAAAACCATCTAAATATGAGGGACGGTAAGCTTTTGGAATGGAACCCCTCCTTCCTCTTCCCCTCTCCCCTCCTAATCTGCCCCCTTGCCCCAACCAAGCTAGGAATTAATTAACGAACCAACGCCTGTTTGCAAACATATCCATGTCATTACCGAACAACAAATAGAAAAGAGGCGTACAAACACAGCTAATCAGTGTGGGGGCGGTTATTTAAACAGTACTCTCTCTCCGAGTGCAGTGTTTATCCTTGGTTAGCGCGCTAAGCTAGGAACCCAGCGAAGGGTGGATAGAACACATTTGGCTAAAGGGAGTCAGTGTGGGGGGGGGGGGGGGGGGGGGTGTAGGGGCTCGATGCTCGGCTTGGGGGGAGCGTGAGGGAATATGGGAAGGAGGGTAGGGGAGGGTTGTTCTGGATCCTAATAAGCAGTCTCCATGTGCATTGCCAAGGAATCATCCTAATCAGCTTTGTATCTCGCTGGCCTGAAATGAACTGGGCCAGACAGGGAGGTGCTAGTTGTTGGATGTGGCTGTGGAGGATATGTTGAGTGGAAGCGTACCACTGTGTCGTGTCCTCCCTAATTGTGTGCCTGAATGTGCCAATGTAGGCAGAGTACGTGCTAATTAGAGCCCTTTGACATTAGCCACAGCTTTGGCTGCATCACAGGGACGGGGAAGGTTCCAACAGGCTCATTAATTGACTATTATGATCGGATTCAGAGTGATTGGTTGGGTTCCACAGCGCCACGCATATATGAGTTGTTTATGGTAGTGGCCGGTGCCACTATCGTGCAATGATGCTGCATTGATGGAGGTGTTTCCAGCTCTGTTGTGTTAGGATGGTGGCCATTGTACAACTTCTTCCATTTAAGAATGATGGAGGCCACTGTGTTCTTGGGGACCTTCAATGCTGCAGAATTTTTTTCCACAGATCTGTGCCTCGACACAATCCTGTCTCGGAGCTCTATGGACAATTCCTTCGACTTCATGGCTTGGTTTTTGCTCTGACATGCACTGTCAACTGTGGGACCCTATATAGACAGATGTGTGCCTTTCCAAATCATGTCCAATCAATTGAATTTACCACAGGTGGACTCCAATCAAGTTGTAGAAACATCTCAAGGATGATCAATGGAAACAGGATGCACATGAGCTCAATTTCGAGTCTCATAGCAAATGGTCTGAATACTCATGTAAACAAGATATTTCAGTTTTTTATTTTTTATACATTTGCAAAAATGTATAAAAACCTGTTTTAACTTTGTCATAATGAGGTATTGTGTGTAGATTGATGTGGATTTTTAAAAAAAATCCATTTTAGAATAAGGCTGTAACGTAACAAAATTTGGAAAAAGTCAAGGGGTCTGAATACTTTCCAAATGTGCTGTATTTGAGTTGTTTATGGTTCGAAATGTGACCGGTGCCACTATCATGCAATGATGCTGCATTGATGGGTGTTTTTCCAACTCGGTTGTTTTAGGATGGTGGCCATTGTTTTGGCTGAACTTCTGTCAGATTAGGATCATGGTGCCTGGCTTTCCAAAGGTAAACATGGCAATAGGTAGTTGGGATTCTGATTTGTTTCTCTGATCTCTTTGAAATTGTGTTCACTCTGTTGGAAACATGAATAAACCCCACATTGGTTGTCAACATCTGATTATAAATGTATGTAGGTACAGGTACGTACTGTGCCAAAAACATTTTTGTGAATATTTTGCACAATACACTATCTGGAACCTGCTGTGTGGATCAGTTCGTAGAGCAAAGCACTTGCAACGCCGGGGGACGTGGGTTTGATTCCCGCTGGGGCCACCCATACGTAAATTGTGTGGATGTATGACTGTGTCGCTTTGGATAAAAACCATCTGCTAAATGGCATATGCATGGTACTGCTATTGTATCCATTGCATTGAATGTTAATTGTTCCACCTTTTCTCGGAGCCAATGACTACCTTAGAAGTCTGTCTACTGTAGTGAAACGCACATCACATGTTGATGAGTTCTGGGCTGAAGAAAACATATGTACCTTAGAAGTAATAACATCTCATTATCATGTATTTCCAGAGGACCCAGAATACTACGGACACACTGCAGGACCTGACAGAGAGGAACATGACAGACTTCCTATTGAAGACCTATGAGAAAGCAGGCAGAAAAAGGTACTTTCACTCTGTGCTCGGTAGCACTTACATATCTGTGAATGTTCAGACATAATGCCAACAATGTGACTGAAGTTGTTATCTAAGATAACGTGTAATGTCAAGTTCTAAGTCCCACTAATTATAAATCATGAGTCAAGAGTCAAATGAAATGGTACAGTGTGTTGTTTGTGTATGTGTCTGCATGTGTGTGCATTTATTTGTGTGTTTGTGTGTCCATGCGTGTTCATATCTTATTAATTTGCACTCTGATCTTTGCCCGCTCCCCTGCCACCACCACCACTACCCACCACTCAAGGTACGGAGGGATTTCCGTCGGAGGAGTCAACTCCCAAGTCAGGATGACTGAACCGGAAATTGAAGCTTTAATCAGGGATTTGAAAAGCCTATTAAATTCCCCCCAGGTATGCTATGGATATTGGGATTGTGTGGTGGCCTTACTGCCAGCTGTGGAACAGCTTGACTTCTGAGGGAAAACGCATTGATTTTATATAATATCTGCCCGTGTAGGAGGATAGGGAAGGTACGTTCGCTGTGGTTGAAAGCCAGAAGGGATCTATGGAGATCTCAATTCACAAAGGTGCATTCAATTATGCATAGACGTAGAAACCAATCACTAACGCTAAGCTTGTGCTCTTTGTGAAACATGAGATCGAATCTGCTTGAGTGACTCTTGAATTTCAATACTTTACCTTCAAATCAAACTAGAAGGAAAGTTAAAACTCAGATAGACTTTTGGATGTCCATGGAAACTGTGTATGATTGTCTCATGTAATATATTTACATATATTTATTTCTTCCTCTCTTTCTCCTCAACACATTCAACCAAGTGTACACACACCCCTCTATCTGTCTATCTCTCCGACACACACACACACACACACACACACACACACACACACACACACACACACACACACACACACACACACACACACACAAACACTCCCTAACACTCCCAAACACATACACACTCATTAAATGTTCAAACCTGTAAGCGGCCTGGACCTCAAACTTAAAAATTAATTTTAAAAAAGGCTAATTAAGTCATACAATCAAGATCAGAAGAATGTTGCTCTCCCTCGGGTGTCTTAACCATCCTTCTCCAGGGTACTTCTCCAGGCTCCGGATTCTCCACGCTAACACGACTTTGATTCACAGCCGCAGTGATGATGTAACTCTAATGGCCGAACATCAGCCATTCCCAGCTCTGTGCATTTCCCTTTTTAAAGTGGGATACGTCTGGCTCGCTGACTGTGGCTATGTCCCAAATGGGTACCCCTTGGGCCCTGGTCAAAATATGTGCACTACAAAGTGTATAGAGTGCCATTTGGAATACAACCTGTGTCTGCTTGAGTTGCAGATGGAGAAAGAACAGTGGTACACAGTGTATTCTACCAGTGGATGCTCCTCAGAGGAGGAAGGGGAGTACCATCCTCCTCAGTGAATTTCATAAAAATAAAAATACTAAATATATTCACGGCACCAAATAATTGATTAAAACACACTGTTTTGCCATGAAGGTCTACAGTAGCCTCAACAACACTCTGTAGGGTAGTAGTCCTCCTCTGGGTACATTGACTATAATATAAAACCTAGAAGGCTTGTGGTTCTCACCCCCTTCCGTAGACTTACACAGTATTTATGACAACCTCTGGAGGACGTCCTCCAACCTATCAGAGCTCTTGCAGCATGAACTGATATGTTGCCCACCCAATCAAAATATCAGAGAATGAATCTAGTACTGAATGCATAAGCTACAGCTCGCTAGCACTGCAGTGCATAATGTGGTGAGTAGTTGACTCAAAAAGGGAAAGACAAAAATGAAGAAGTGAGAGAGAGAGAGAGATTTTTTTTTTCACTTCCACTTTCGCTTACTTAGCTATCAAATGCGTCTAGCTAGTTTAGCCTATTCAAACACCCGGTTCAAACAGCGAGTGATGCTATGTTAGCTAGCTGGCTATGGATATCCAACACTGAAACTCTTCCAAGTCAAGGTAATTTATTACTAACTTTACTAAACTACTGCTTGCTGCTGACTGTGCACTGTACTGCATGATTGTAGCGGGTTTACTAACGCGTTAGTTCTAGTAGCTATGTTGACTATGACGTTAATATGGTGACAACGATGTAGGTAGGCTGTGTGTAGTGGTTAGCGGTTGTGATATAAAGGTTTGGCTTGGATAGGTTTTTTAGCCCATGTCACAGACAGCTGATATGTTGTGCACTGAAGTCCAAGGGAAAGAAAAGGGGGGAGGAGGAAGGTGCGTAGATGCGAGAAGTAATTATACAACGATCAAAGGGATCATGCTGTTTGTATGTGGCTGCTATGTGTCACGGTTTCGGCCGAGGCGGCCCCTCCTCCTTGTTCGGGCAGGTTTCGGCGGTCGTCGTCTCCGGAGTACTAGCTGCCACCGTTCTATGTTTCTTGTTTGATTGGTTTTGTCTGTTTGTCACACCTGTTTTGTGTTATGTCTCATTAAGCACCCTATTTAGTTCCTTGTTGTTAGTTAGGTGTTGTGTGTAATTGTTTCCTTGTCGTGTTGCTGCGCTACCTATTTTGGTGCGCTATTTAGTAGTTTGCCTCCTTGTTGTTTTTAGGAGAGATTTACGCACATGTTTAGTGCGCCCGTTTGGTTACGCCTGTGCTCGCTTTTCTCGCCTCCGGGCTGTTCTTGGATTATTTTGTATTGATCTACTAAAGACTTTGTTTGGACTTAACTTCTGCGTCCTGCGCCTGATTCCACACCACACCTACCTACAGCAACTCTTGACAGAATTACACACCACATATGGAATCAGCAGGAGCACCCACCGACATCATGGAGGAGCGTCTTCGTGGTCAAGAGGATCGAATCAACCAGATCGGGCACGCCTTGGACCGCGTCATGAACACCCTCCATCGATGGGAGACAAGCGGGGTACTCACACCCCCACCTATCGCACCATCACCATCGGACAGCCCGCCCGTCCAACTACCGGAACCCAGTGGGATTCGGCTCTCGCTCCCGAGGGCGTACGACGGCACCGCTGCCGGGTGTCAGGGGTTCCTATTACAAGTGGAGCTCTACCTTGCCACCATACACCCGGCGCCCTCGGGATACGAGAGCGTTTCCGCCCTCATCTCCTGTCTCACCGGCAAGGCGTTGGAGTGGGCCAACGCCTAATGGAGGGGAATAGACGCCACCACAGTCACCTATGCGGAGATCTCCCGCCGCTTCCGTGCTGTCTTCGACCATCCACCAGAGAGGAAGGCGGCGGGGGAGCGTCTATTCCACCTCCGACAGGGGATGAGGAGCGCTCAAGAGTTTGCGCTGGAGTTCCGGACTCTTGCGGCAGATGCAGGGTGGAATGAGAGGGCCCTCATAGACCACTTTAGATGTAGCCTTCGGGAGGACGTCCGCAGAGAGTTAGCGTGCAGGGATACTACACTAACATTTGACCAGTTGGTGGACATGGCCATTCGGCTGGACACCCTGCTCGCGACCCGCGGACGTCCCAGGTGGGGGCCTCCCATTCCACCCTCCAGCGCCTCCGAGCCGAGCCCGATGGAGCTTGGAGGTGCTGGCGCTAGAGGGAGGAGAGGAAGGAGCCCGAGGGGGGCAGTCTCCTGCACCAACTGTGGCCGCGGAGGGCACACCGCGGCTAGGTGCTGGGGAGGGTCCCCTGGTGAGGGAGATGGCAGGTCACACATTGGGGAGTCCTCCCAGGTGAGTAGGCGCCCTACTTACCCAGAGCTTTCTGTCGTACACATTACATTACCTGTTTGTTTCCCACAGGTTGCACCTCGTTCCCAGCATAAGGCGCTAGTCGATTCAGGCGCAGCTGGGAATTTTGTAGATCGTAAATTCTGTGTTAAGTTAGGGATTCCCCTCCTTCCAGTCGATAAGCCCTTCCCTGTACATGCCTTAGATAGTCGTCCGTTAGGATCTGGGTTGATTGGGGAGGTCACAGCGCCACTTAGGATGATGACGCAGGGGGGTCATGAGGAGACGATTCAACTCTATCTGATCGACTCTCCTGCGTATCCGGTGGTACTGGGGCTTCCCTGGTTGATTACCCATGATCCTACGATTTCGTGGCGAGAGAAGGCTCTTAAAGGGTGGTCTGCTCAGTGTGAGGGGCTATGTCTGGGTGTTTCCGTAGGGGCGACCTCGGTGGAGAGCCCGAACCAGATGCCAGCACTGCACATTCCGCCTGAGTATGAGGATTTGGCACTCGTGTTTAGTAAGACCAGAGCGGCACGGTTGCCGCCTCATAGACAGGGGGATTGTGCGATAGACCTCCAGATAGGAGCTGCGCTCCCGCGGAGCCATGTGTATCCTTTGTCACAGGAGGAGAAAAGGGCAATGGAGACTTACATTGCCGAGTCTCTGAGACAGGGATACATACGGCCTTCCACTTCTCCCGCGTCCTCGAGCTTCTTTTTTGTGAAGAAAAAGGATGGAGGTTTGCGTCCGTGTATTGATTACCGCGGTCTCAATCAGGTGACTGTGAAATATAGTTATCCACTCCCGCTGATTGCGACCATGACGGAGTCATTACACGGGGCACGGTTCTTCACAAAATTGGACCTCAGGAGCGCATATAACTTGGTGCGCATTAGGGAGGGCGATGAGTGGAAGACAGCATTTAGTTCCACCTCCGGCCATTACGAGTATCTCGTCATGCCATATGGGTTAATGAATGCTCCATCAGTCTTCCAATCGTTTGTAGATGAGATTTTCCGGGACATGCAGGCGCAGGGAGTAGTGGTGTACATAGATTATATTCTTGTGTACAGTTCTACTCGGGCCGAGCATGTAGCCCTGGTGCGCAGGGTATTGAGGAGACTGTTGGAGCATGACCTGTATGTCAAAGCCGAGAAATGTCTGTTCTTTCAGGAGTCAGTTTCCTTTTTGGGTTACCAGTTGTCTGCGTCAGGGGTGAGAATGGAGGTGGACCGAGTGTCTGCCGTGCGTAATTGGCAAACCCCAACTACAGTTAAAGAGGTGCAGCGGTTCTTGGGTTTTGCGAATTACTACCGGAGGTTTATCCGGGGTTTTGGACAGGTGGCAGCTCCCATAACGTCTCTTCTGAAGGGGGGTCCGGTGCGCTTGCAGTGGTCGGCTGAGGCGGACAGGGCCTTTGGGAGACTGAAGGACCTGTTTACCTCGGCTCCGGTGCTGGCGCACCCGGATCCCGCTTTACCCTTCCAAGTAGAGGTGGACGCGTCTGAGGCCGGTATCGGGGCAGTTCTTTCACAACGGTCCGGCACACCACCTAAGCTCCGCCCCTGTGCCTTTTATTCTAAGAAGCTCAGTCCGGCGGAGCGGAATTATGACGTAGGGGACAGGGAGCTGTTAGCCGTAGTACAGGCCCTAAAGGTGTGGAGGCATTGGCTTGAGGGGGCTCAACACCCTTTCCTCATTCTGACCGACCACCGTAACCTGGAATACATTCGGGCAGCTAGGAGACTGAATCCTCGCCAGGCTCGATGGACTATGTTTCTCGCCCGGTTTGTGTTCAAGATCACTTACATCCCTGGGTCCCAGAACGGGAAGGCAGATGCCCTGTCCCGGCGGTATGACACGGAGGAGAGGTGCGTGGAGCCCATTCCCATACTACCGGAGTCTTGTCTGGTGGCACCGGTGGTGTGGGAAGTCGATGCGGAGATCGAGCGGGCATTACGCACCGACCCTAGCCCTCCACAGTGTCCGGTGGGTCGGACGTACGTCCCGCTCGAGGTCCGGGATCGGCTGATTTATTGGGCTCACACGTCACCCTCCTCTGGACATCCAGGTATTGGCCGGACAGTGCACTGCCTTAGTACGAAGTACTGGTGGCCAACGTTAGCCAGGGATGTGAGGGTTTATGTCTCCTCCTGCTCAGTGTGTGCCCAGTGTAAGGCGCCCAGACACTTGCCCAGGGGTAAATTACAACCCCTGCCCGTTCCACAGCGACCCTGGTCTCACCTCTCGGTGGATTTTGTTACCGACCTTCCCTCCTCACAAGGGAATACCACCATCCTGGTCGTTGTGGATCGGTTCTCGAAGGCCTGTCGTCTCCTTCCCATGCCGGGTCTTCCTACTGCCCTACAGACCGCTGAGGCTCTATTTACTCACGTCTTCCGGCATTACGGGGTACCCGAGGATATAGTGTCCGATCGAGGCCCCCAGTTTACCTCCAGAGTCTGGAGAGCCTTTATGGAACGGTTGGGGGTCTCGGTGAGCCTTACCTCGGGTTACCACCCGGAGAGTAATGGGCAGGTCGAACGAGTCAACCAGGATGTGGGTAGGTTTCTGAGGTCATATTGTCAGGGCCGGCCGGAGGAGTGGGCGAGATATGTGCCCTGGGCCGAGATGGCACAGAACTCTCTCCGCCACTCCTCCACTAGACTAACCCCTTTCCAGTGTGTGTTAGGGTACCAGCCGGTTCTGGCACCTTGGCATGAGAGCCAGATCGAGGCCCCTGCTGTGGATGAGTGGGTGCGGCGCTCGGAGGAGACGTGGAACGCTGCACACGTCCATCTGCAGCGAGCCATCCGTCGACAGAAGACGAGCGCCGACCTACACCGCAGTGAGGGGCCAGTGTACGCACCTGGAGATCGAGTCTGGCTCTCAACCAGAAACCTGCCCCTCCGCCTGCCCTGCCGGAAGCTGGGTCGGCGGTTTGTGGGGCCCTTTAAAGTCCTGAGGAGATTGAACGAGGTGTGTTACAGGTTACAACTGCCCATTGATTACAAGAATATTAACCCCTCGTTCCATGTGTCTCTCCTCAGGCCGGTGGTAGCTGGTCCACTCCAGGACTTTGAGATTGAGGAGACTCCTCCGCCCCCGTTGGACATCGAGGGGGCTCCGGCGTACACTGTTCGGACCATCCTGGATTCGAGACGCCGGATGGGGGGTCTCCAATATCTCGTGGAGTGGGAGGGGTACGGTCCGGAGGAGCGGTGCTGGGTGCCGAGGAGGGACATTCTGGATCCGTCCCTGCTGACCGAATTCCATCGTGGTCATCCTACGCGCCCTGCTCCGCGTCCTCCTGGTCGTCCCCGAGGCCGGGGGCGGCGCACGGCTGGAGCCGCGCGTCAAGGGGGGGGTACTGTCACGGTTTCGGCCGAGGCGGCCCCTCCTCCTTGTTCGGGCAGGTTTCGGCGGTCGTCGTCTCCGGAGTACTAGCTGCCACCGTTCTATGTTTCTTGTTTGATTGGTTTTGTCTGTTTGTCACACCTGTTTTGTGTTATGTCTCATTAAGCACCCTATTTAGTTCCTTGTTGTTAGTTAGGTGTTGTGTGTAATTGTTTCCTTGTCGTGTTGCTGCGCTACCTATTTTGGTGCGCTATTTAGTAGTTTGCCTCCTTGTTGTTTTTAGGAGAGATTTACGCACATGTTTAGTGCGCCCGTTTGGTTACGCCTGTGCTCGCTTTTCTCGCCTCCGGGCTGTTCTTGGATTATTTTGTATTGATCTACTAAAGACTTTGTTTGGACTTAACTTCTGCGTCCTGCGCCTGATTCCACACCACACCTACCTACAGCAACTCTTGACACTATGAAAGTGAACTGTGTTTGCGTGTGATCAGGGATGTATTCATTCCGCCGATTCTGTAAAAATTTTTTTCTTAAACAGAAGTAAATGGAACAAAACGGGGGAAAAACATACCTGAATTTGTCCAATAGAATCTCTTGTTTGCAACTTTTGGACTAATGATTACACCCTAGATCAGCTCGATACAGGCAAGAGTGTCCAAGGTGGTATTGAATGTGTCAATGTCTGTCACCTTGATTACTAAAATGTATCTCGACCTGTGCGCCTACGTTATAAACTTTCATTCATAGGTTGTAGCAACTTCATGTGTAGGGAAAATTAGAGTATCATGTAGTAGCCTAAACCTATTGATGTTACATTGAGCTGGGTGAATGGAATATGAATGACAGTCATCCAATATGCCGTAATAGAAATAAGGCCATGCACATAAAAAAAACATCTTAAATGGCACTGACCACCACTGTACTCTACTCTACTGTGTCACCTGACTGGGATGGAAGTTAGCTTTTAAGTGTGTGTTTGATCTTTTTTTTTTGTGTGGGGGGGGGGGGGGGGGGGGGGGGGGGGGTAAAAGGTGAAATTGAAATGAGACTCACGTGGCAAAGGATTCTGGGATCGATTAGGATGAGGAAGGATGTCACGCCCTGGCTCTGGGGACTCTTAAATGTTGAGCCAGGTGTGTAGTTTCTATGTTGTGTTTTTCTATGTTTCGCTTCTAGATCGTTTAGATCTATGTTGGCCAGGGTGGTTCCCAATCAGAGGCAGCTGTAGCTCGTTGTCTCTGATTGGGGACAATACTTAGGCAGCCTGTTGGCACCAGTTAGTTGTGGGATCTTGTTCCGTATAGGAATGTTATTAGTCTACCTTGGACTTCACGTATCGTTTGTTTGTTGTTTTGTTCGTGTTCAGTACGTTAATAAATATTTACGCTTATTACGCTGCGCATTGGTCCGTCTCTTCCGTAAACGATCGTGACAGAAGATCCCACCAAATGAGGACCAAGCAGCGTGTCCAGGAGCAGACAGCCTGGACTTGGGAGGAAATTCAGGCCGGAATGGATCGCCGTCCTTGGGAGGAGACAGTGGAGGCGCGCTATAGAGAGGAGCAGCGGCAACGCAGAAGGTGCCGGCCGAGGAGGAAGCCCGAGAGACAGCCCCAATAATGTTTTTTGGGGGGGCTAAAAGGGTGGTTGGCGGAGCCTAGTGTTAGAGCAGAGCCAACTCCCCGTACTCATGCTAGGAAGCGTGTGACTGGGCAGGCTCCGTGTTATGCGGAGCTACGTACTGTGCCGCGAGTGTTCCGGCACAGTCCTGTACGTCCTGTGCTAGCACCACGCACGTGTCGTGCGAAGTTGGGCATTCAGCCAGGACGGGGTGTGCCGGCTCAACGCTCGTGGTCTCCAGTACGCCTCCTCGGTCCCGTATATCCTGCGCCGGTGCTACGTACTGTATCGCCAGTACGCGTGCACAGCCTCGTACGTCCTGTGCTAATGCCTCACACATATTGTGTGGAGGTAGGCATCCAGCCAGGACGGGTTGTGTCAGCTCTCCGCTCCAGACCTCCAGTCCACCTCCACAGTCCGGCCCGGCCCGTTCCTGCTCCCCGCACCAAGCCAATGGTGCGTGTTCCCAGTCCGGCCTGGCCCGTTCCTGCTCCCCGCACCAAGCCAGTGGTGCGTGTTCCCAGTCCGGCCCGGCCCGTTCCTGCTCCCCGCACCAAGCCAGTGGTGCGTGTTCCCAGTCCGGCCCGGCCCGTTCCTGCTCCCCGCACCAAGCCAGTGGTGCGTGTCGCCAGCCCGGTCCGGCCTGTTCCTGTCCCTCGCACCAAGCCAGTGGTGCGCGTCGTCAGCCCGGTCCGGCCCGTTCCTGCTCCCCGCACCAAGCCAGTGGTGTGTGTGTCCAGTCCGGCACGGCCCGTGCCTGTTCCACCGGTGCCTGGTCCGGCACCGGTCAGCTGCTCCACTCCGGAGCCAGAGCAATCCGCTCCACCGGGGTCCGGTCCAACTCCAGTCAGCGGATCCACTCCGGAGTCAGAGCAATCCGCTCCACCGGGGTCCAGTCCAGCTCCGGTCAGCCGCTCCACTCCGGAGCCAGAGAAGTCCGCTTCACCGGTGCCCAGTCCAGCTCCGGTCAGCGGCTCCACTCCGGAGCCAGAGAAGTCCGCTCCACCGGTGCCCAGTCCAGCTCCGGTCAGCGGCTCCAGTCCGGAGTCTGTGCAGTTCGATCCACCGTCGTCGGGTCCAGCTCCAGTCAGCGGTGCCAGTCCAGACCCAGACGTCAGCCCCTCTCCAGGTTCGGGGTCTCCCACACCAGGGTCCAGATAGGACTTGGTACGTCGTGGGAGGAAGGAGAGGGGAAGCAGCGCACTGAGGTCCAGACCAGACCAGGGGCGCAACAGGGAGGCGGAGGATAGGTGGTGGTCACGCCCGGAGCCGGATCCGCCTCCGAGGCGGAATGCCCACCCGGCCCCTACCCTGTTATGTTTAGGTTGCGCGGTCGGAGTCCGCACCTTTGGGGGGGGGGGGGGGTAATGTCACGCCCTGGCTCTGGGGACTCTTAAATGTTGAGCCAGGTGTGTAGTTTCTATGTTATGTTTTTCTATGTTTAGCTTCTAGATCGTTTAGATCTATGTTGGCCAGGGTGGTTCCCAATCAGAGGCAGCTGTAGCTCGTTGTCTCTGATTGGGGACAATACTTAGGCAGCCTGTTGGCACCAGTTAGTTGTGGGATCTTGTTCCGTATAGGTATGTTATTAGTCTACCTTGGACTTCACGTATCGTTTGTTTGTTGTTTTGTTCGTGTTCAGTACGTTAATAAATATGTACGCTTATCACGCTGCGCCTTGGTCCGTCTCTTCCGTAAACGATCGTGACAAAGGAAGATATTATAACATGGCAAATACAAAACACACAATGCTTGAAGACAATTAGGAAAGACTAGTCATTAAAGTAGTCAAATACAGTGTCTTAAGAGCCAAAACAGCTTTTTAACATAGGCCGCAACTCGTCATGTAGTCAACAGAACGCATCGTGCCACCGTCGTATCGCTGGCTGTGGCTGTGTGGGCGTCCGGCTCATTGGCCATACGAGCACAATTGTCCTTGAGGATGAAGTCGTTTCATGAGGGATAAGCATCAGTAAATGCTCGCCGGGGTTCCCTGACTCCCCTCTGTCTCGCCCGCCATGTCTTCCCGTCTGCCACAGAAACAATACCAGTGAAACAAGGAGCTAATCCTCAGGAAGAACGCATGCCAGTGTCGTGCCCTCTATGGTGCCAACCTGCACCAGCCTCTTTCTCCCTCTACCTCACCCGCCTCTGGTTTTTCAAAAGGGAGAAGTAAAAGCAAAATATGTTAAAGAGCCCCAGCTTTGCGGAAGGCAGAATTACGGAGAGCAAAAAGGGCTTGTAACTGTTCCTGAGCTCATAAATAATCAATTAGATGGTCGGTGTTCTGTGTGTTTCTGCTAAATAGAGAGACGACGAGTATAGTGTGCAAACACTCCCTCCCTCTTTCTCTTACTCCCTCTGTTTTCCTCCCTCCCTCCCTCTTTCTCTTACTCCCTCTGTTTTTCTCCCTCCCTCCCTATTTCTCTTACTCCCTCTGTTTTTCTCTTCCTTCGTCTCGTATTGTAGGCCTTTGATTTGAGGTGCTGCAGACAGAAGGAACCATTTGCATTTATATCACACGTTTAATGCGTGCAGTGTGCACCGGGCCGGGCTGAACTGGAACCGGGCACAGGCGTGACGACGGGCCATCACAAATCACACGGTTCTCAGCAGCACTCATCCCAAGGTCCATTTCACTTGAAACATGACCATAGTGGATATTTTTTTTACGCAACCCATGCGGCCCACCCACTCTACTGTATTATATGTTATAACACCATGTGGAGGAATTTCCATAGTGAGAAAAGAGAGAAAAAAATATTTAAAGGAGAGAGATGCAAGTGGAAGGCAGTGCTGGGTTGGTGAAATCATTCGGCCCCCACTCGGTCATCAACGTTAACTCAATCGGCTTCCACTCCCACCTGCCCTCTACAGCGCTAGTACCCAGGGGTCATATGTATCAAGCATCTCATGTGTAGGACTACCCTACCTCCCCTCTATAAACTTTTATATACCATGACAGTTTTTTTTTCTTGTGGGGGGGGAGGTGGGAGAGGGGGGGAGAGAGAGAGCGAGAAAGCGAGAGGGAGAGTGAGTGAGAGATGCAAGCAGAGGTCAGTGCTGCAGGTTTGCCGAAATAACAAGCAAAATAATGTTACTTCTCCAGCCTATATAAAATAAGTGGGCCTCAGCAATATAGAGATATTGCTGTTCCATGATGTTTTGCATTTCAAAGAGGATATGTATTTTCCCAAGTGTGTCCAGTTAAGCCTCGTTCTCTTTAAAAAAATAATATTATTCTCTCCTTCATTAGGATAACACGACCGATCAGATCCTCCTGAACGCCAAGACACTCCTGAAAGAGCTTGGGACCAGGGATAACGTCAAGGTATTATATCATCGTTCATCTTGAGGCTTAGAGACTCAGTGGCTCCTTGGCGGCTATTACCATTTTTGTTTGATCATCATCTTGAGTGCTTTGTGAGAGGATACAGTAGCAGGTATAGTTCAACGCTGGTACACAGATAGATCTCTGCCTGTGTAGTGCAATGATAATCACAAATCATACAAGACAAGGCCATCTCCTGGGTTTTACCTGTAATCTGAGCTGTGTCTGAATCACTTAATTCCCATCACAGACACCTTGACTAAACTGTATAGGGAGTGGTTGAGTGGTTCAAATTACTTTATAAATGTATTATTCAGTACGGAGTTCTAATCTAGACGAAGATCCTCCATTGAGACAAGATAAAGCAGCGAAAAGAAGAAGTGCATAGTACAAAATGGATCCTGTTAGCATTATGGAGTTATAATTCTCCAATGGATTCAACAGCAGCCTTTATGGTTGATGTTTGATGCAATTAGACTGCTTGAATTCTGTGGTAGCAGTGTTAACTTAGCTAGCTTCATACGGTTCTTTATAGCATTAACTTCCACTCTCTTCCACTCTTTTGATGTCCACCATGTTTGATGTATCTAATGGGAGTCTAGCAACAAGTCCCCCCAGGGTTGAGGAAAACGGAATCCAGTGCATTGTGGAATTGATGAAAAGAAACTGCAGTCGAAATAACTTAAGCACTAGCATTGGATAAACCAAAATGGCATTTTTCTGTGCAATTGTTTAAGTCGCTAATGCTGTAGTTAACCACAAATATCTTTGGGGAGTGTATGTGGACCGTGTGAGAGACAAGAAAAGTGTGAGTGTGTGCTTGTGCATATGAATGTGCTTGTGTGTGTGCGTGCACCTTGAGTGTGTGTGTGTGTGTGTGTTTGTGTGTGTGTTACTGTGTGTGTGTGATACAGTGTTACGGTAGGCCCAAACTCCATCTAATCTTAATTAGACCAGCACTATCAGCAGGGGTGCTCTCTTTCTAGAACATTCTTCTCCTGCACAACGGGAGATACAGGCACCGGGAGCATCTTAAAGAGAAAAGTACTCAATCGTTTGTTATAACTTTTTTAGCGGGGTGACTTGTGTTCAACTTGCGAGCTTTTTTGTTGTGGTAGTTGCTGTTACTGTACGTAAAGAAAATATTATATTTTATGTACTATCAAGATGCTAATTTAACCCAAGGGCCATGTTTACATAGACATTGAACTATACTGTATAATTTCCATAAAATAAATAAATAATCACTTTTGCAGAATTAACGGAATAAACAGTGGTGAGAGATTACTGCCTATTGCATATCTGATGATGCAGGATACAGTAGCTCCATAAAGAGATGTACTTATACCATGGAATAACGGTTGTGTTATGCTAAGTCTTTGCACATCTTGATACTTTTTTCACTTGTTTTGGTGCTACATACAGTGGCTTGCGAAAGTATTCACCCCCCTTGGCATTTTTCCTATTTTGTTGCCTTACAACCTGGAATTAAAATTGATTTTTTGGGAGTTTGTATCATTTGATTTACACAACATGTCTACCACTTTGAAGATGCAAAATATTTTTTGGTGTGAAACAAAAAAAATCAGAAAACTTGCATAACTATTCACCCCCCCCAAAGTCAATACTTTGTAGAGCCACCTTTTGCAGCAATTACAGCTGCAAGTCTCTTGGGGTATATCTCTATAAGCTTGGCACATCTAGCCACTGGGGTTTTTCCCCATTCTTCAAGGCAAAACTGCTCCAGCTCCTTCAAGTTGGATGGGTTCCGCTGGTGTACAGCAATCTTTAAGTCATACCACAGATTCTCAATTGGATTGAGGTCTGGGCTTTGACTAGGCCATTCCAAGACATTTAAATGTTCCCCCTTAAACCACTCAAGTGTTGCTTCAGCAGTATGCTTAGGGTCATTGTCCTGCTGGAAGGTGAACCTCCGTCGCAGTCTCAAATCTCTGGAAGACTGAAACAGGTTTCCCTCAAGAATTTCCCTGTATTTTGCGCCATCCATCATTCCTTCAATTCTGACCAGTTTCCCAGTCCCTGCCGATGAAAAACATCCCCACAGCATGATGCTGCCACCACCATGCTTCACTGTGGGGATGGTGTTCTCGAGGTGATGAGAGGTGTTGGGTTTGTGCCAGACATAGCGTTTTCCTTGATGGCCAAAAAGCTCAATTTTACTCTCATCTGACCAGAGTACCTTCTTCCATATGTTTGGGGAGTCTCCCACATGCCTTTTGGCAAACACCAAACGTTTTTGCTTATTTTTTTCTTTAAGCAATGGCTTTTTTCTGGCCACTCTTCCGTAAAGCCCAGGTCTGTGGAGTGTACGGCTTAAAGTGGTCCTATGGACAGATACTCCAATCTCCGCTGTGGAGCTTTGCAGCTCCTTCAGGGTGCTCTTTGGTCTCGTTGTTGTCTCTCTGATTAATGCCCTCCTTGCCTGGTCCGTGAGTTTTGGTGGGCGGCCCTCTCTTGGCAGGTTTTTTGTGGTGCCATATTCTTTCAATTTTTTAATAATGGATTTAATGGTGCTCCGTGGGATTTTCAAAGTTTCTGATATTTTTTTATAACCCAACCCTGATCTGTATTTCTCCACAACTTTGTCCCTGACCTGTTTGGAGATCTCCTTGGTCTTCATAGTGCTGCTTGCTTGGTGGTGCCCCTTGCTTAGTGGTGTTGCAGACTCTGGGACCTTTCAGAACAGGTGTATATATACTGAGATCATGTGACACTTAGATTGCACACAGGTGGACTTTATTTAACTAATTATGTGACTTCTGAAGGTAATTGGTTGCACCAGATCTTATTTCGGGGCTTCATAGCAAAGGGGGTGAATACATGTGCACGCACCACTTTTCCGTTACAGATTTTTTTGAAACAAGTTATTTTTTAATTTCACTTCACCAATTTGGACTATTTTATGTATGTCCATTAATATAAAAATCCATTTAAATTACAGGTTGTAATGCAACAAAATAGGAAAAACGCCAAGGGGATGAATACTTTTGCAAGGCACTGTAGGTCTGGTGTAAGGTACACTCCATGGACTAGTTTTCCAGACCCAGATTAAACTTTAAATGGAGAATCTCCATTGAACATTCTTTTTAGCCCAGGACTATTCATAATCTTTGTCCGGGAAACTAGCCCCATATGCTTTATATTGTCTTTGAACTATAACAGCAATGAACCATCTGCCATGTCTCCAGGTGTGGTTCTACAACCAGGCGTGGCACGGGATCGTTTCGTTCCTCAACGTGGCCAACAACGCCATCCTGAGGGGCAACCTGCCTATGGGCCGTGACCCCAGGGAGTACGGCATCTCCACCTCCAGCCACCCTCTCAACCTGACCAAGGCTCAGCTCTCCTACCAGGCACTGTGAGTCAGGATGTATCAGCTCTGGGGGAGGGAGGGAGGGAGGGAGGGAGAGGGAGAGAGGGAGAGAGGGAAAGAGGGAGAGAGAGACTTGCATAATATAAAATAACATAATGCAACGTAACATTACATAATATAATGTAACATGCAGTATTATAGCAGAATATAATTACATAACATATCCTAGCGTAGAATAAGTAGTAGCATAACATAGCATCATAACATACAGTAACTTATCATAACATAACCTAAAGCTGTACAGCACATCTATATATGTAGATGTCAAATTAGGCCTATGCGCAGTTTTCACACTTTGTTTGCTGAAATGTCAGTTTCGACTTTGACACATGATGCGATCCTCATGCCATAGATACCATTTAATTCCTTGTTCCTTTCTTGTGTTACCACCTCTATCTAAATAAGGTATTTATGTAGTGGTCAGGTAATAGCAACAGTGTTGAGACAGAGAGAAAAGACATGGAAGTGTAGCTAAACGATAATTACAATGGCTTCGCTTCCATACTGTAGATTCAGACCCCCTCTCTGTATGGCTTCGCTTCCATACTGTAGATTCAGACCCCCTCTCTGTTTGTCTCTCTCATTTCACTCTCTCTCTCTCCATGTGGTCCCTGCGGGGAATTTATTATCCATGATCTAAAGATGAACTTTCGATCATGAATTACCAGAGTTAAAAGGTAAGGAGTAAAACATTTGAGTGTTCGTGTTCTATGCGATCATGCATCGTGTCCCTGCGTCATTGCCCTAATTTAAGAGTTGTTCTCCACAAAGTATTGCTTTAAATGGAGCAGACAGTAAAATGTGTTGTGGTGGTTGTAGGCAATTTAGGGGGTAGCTTCTGTCTAGGCATTTTGACTAGACTGACTGCAATGCTCTCCTAGCATAAGCAGATTAATCATCATGGTGGGTCTCTGTGACCTGGAGCTTGCTAGGTCTTCAGTGAATCAGAGAGAGACCTGTTCTGTCACCAAATCTCCCATGTCCTTTAATAAAACAATAAAACCATTTCTGCGTTATGGCTACACCTACTGTCTGGACAATTATTTACTGAAACAATTCAAAGGTAGACTATTATTTGACTACTCATTATGGTTTGCTAACCCCCCCTCCACACCTCCATGTTTGAAGCCGCACCTCACTCTAGACCTTAGGCAAAAACACCAGGCACATTAAAAGCTCTCCCCTACTATACTGTTTATTACTTTATTAGCGGGGTGCATGTCCCCTCACAGTGATTAGCCACTAGTCCTTGTTCAGGGTTACCTCATTAGCCAATCGCTTTCCTCAAACAATCCTCGTGCCCGGTGAGTGGGGTCTAGATAAACCTATTGAAAACTGTTGAAAGTGGGGCGGCACCCACTGCGTAAATTATTTATTGTTTACGCATCCTAATTGTGTCCAGCCCGCGCTGATGAATTAATGTTGAGGCGGCGCGGCATGACTTGTTTATTATGTTAATTACCTGGCAGGTAGTCTGGCGAGAGATTGTGGTAGGGCAGGAAGGTAGGAGGGGTGTGTGTGTGTGTGTGTGTGTGTGTGTGTGTGTGTGTGTGTGTGTGTGTTAGAGGAGTTGGGAGAATATACTGTAGTCTGCTTCACAGCTAATTAAGCAGACGCAGCAAGGACGTTTTTATAGCAAAATGGTTGAAATGAAGATGTCCAGTATTCTGATGAAGAAGAGGTCAATGTCTTCTGAGGAGAGAGAAACAGTTGCTAAGTGCTTCGTCCCTCACAAGTCAGTCAGGGAAGAGATTAACTCTTTGTGCCTCTCTACAGATCTCTAGCTAAATAGTTGATCGCCCACTGTCTGCAATCTGCAATTAGCTATTAAACTACACTGGGGGGTAACTAACACCATAACATCTATAATCGCTAACTTACAGTGAGCTCCAAAAGTATTGGGACAACAACAATGAGGTTAAATGGCAGACTGTAAGCTTTAATTTGAGGGTATTTATATCCATATCGGGTGAACCGTTTAGAAATTACATCACTCTTTGTATATAGTCCCCCCATTTTGGCGGACCAAAAGTATTGGGCCGAATTCACATATGTGTGAATTTGTCCCAATATTTTAATCCAAAGTGCTGGAGTACAGAGCCAAAACAACAACAAATAATTTCACTGTCCCAATAGTTTTGGACCTCACTGTATCTAGTGTTTCTTCTTTAATGTGGATAGGATAGCAAAGAAGAAATCTGGTTGGAGGACATTTTTATTTTGGTGCTCTCCATGTCAGCGAACATGAATAATGGAAGTGCTGTTGAATGACCTTTGATCCCAAACATCCAGCACCTCTCCGGTGCAGTTTCCACCTCTTGTTTGTGAACTTCCGAAATCTACTCCTACCCGAAACTCTGTTCGATTTGACAGCGGAGAGCCGAAAGAGGGTGATATTTCCATCAAAAGAGACCAGCAGGAGCTCTGAATTGACAGAATGTGAAAGTATGGAAGGCAAGACAGCGCAACATACAGTGAGGGAAAAAAGAATTTGATCCCCTGCTGATTTTGTACGTTTGCCCACTGACAAAGAAATGATCAGTCTATAATTTTAATGGTAGGTTTATTTGAACAGTGAGAGACAGAATAACAACAAAAACATCCAGAAAAACGCATGTCAAAAATGTTATAAATTTATTTGCATTTTAATGAGGGAAATAAGTATTTGACCCCCTCTCAATCAGAAAGATTTCTGGCTCCCAGGTGTCTTTTATACAGGGAGTGCTCCTAATCTCAGCTTGTTACCTGTATAAAAGACACCTGTCCACAGAAGCAATCAATCAATCAGATTCCAAACTCTCCACCACGGCCAAGACCAAAGAGCTCTCCAAGGATGTCAGGGACAAGATTGTAGACCTACACAAGGCTGGAATGGGCTACAAGACCATCGCCAAGCAGCTTGGTGAGAAGGTGACAACAGTTGGTGCGATTATTCGCAAATGGAAGAAACACAAAAGAACTGTCAATCTCCCTCGGCCTGGGGCTCCATGCAAGATCTCACCTCATGGAGTTGCAATGATCATGAGAACGGTGAGGAATCAGCCCAGAACTACACGGGAGGATCTTGTCAATGATCTCAAGGCAGCTGGGACCTTAGTCACCAAGAAAACAATTGGTAACACACTACGCCGTGAAGGACTGAAATCCTGCAGCACCCTCAAGGTCCCCCTGCTCAAGAAAGCACATATACAGGCCCATTTGAAGTTTGCCAATGAACATCTGAATGATTCAGAGAAGAACTGGGTGAAAGTGTTGTGGTCAGATGAGACCAAAATCGAGCTCTTTGGCATTAACTCAACTCGCCGTGTTTGGAGGAGGAGGAATGCTGCGTATGACCCAGTTGGTGCGATTATTCGCAAATGGAAGAAACACAAAAGAACTGTCAATCTCCCTCGGCCTGGGGCTCCATGCAAGATCTCACCTCGTGACCCCAAGAACCATCAAATCTTGGGTGAGAACCTCCTTCCCTCAGCCAGGGCATTGAAAATGGGTTGTGGATGGATATTCCAACTTGACAATGACCCAAAACACACGGCCAAGGCAACAAAGGAGTGGCTCAAGAAGAAGCACATTAAGGTCCTGGAGTGGCCTAGCCAGTCCCCAGACCTTTATCCCATAGAAAATCTGTGGAGGGAGCTGAAGGTTCGAGTTGCCAAACGTCAGCCTCGAAACCTTAATGACTTGGAGAAGATCTGCAAAGAGGAGTGGGACAAAATCCCTCCTGAGATGTGTGCAAACTTGGTGGCCAACTACAAGAAACGTCTGACCTCTGTGATTGCCAACAAGGGTTTTGCCACCAAGTACTAAGTCATGTTTTGCATAGAGGTCAGATACTTATTTCCCTCATTAAAAAGCAAATCAATTCATAACATTTTTGACATGCGTTTTTCTGGATTTTTATTGTTGTTATTCTGTCTCTCACTGTTGAAATAAACCTACCATTAAAATTATAAACTGATCATGTCTTTGTCAGTGGGCAAACGTACAAAATCAGCAGGGGATCAAATACTTTTTTCCCTCACTGTACCTTTATCTCGGTGAATGATATTCTAACCGCATGGAGGATCAAACATTTCCAAGATGACGCCTCCCGAGTGGCGCAGCGGTCTAAGGCACTGCATCGTAGTGCTTGAGGCGTCACTACAGACCCAGACCCACTACAGACGCAGCCGGCCGCGACCGGGAGACCCATGAGGCGCCGCACAATTGGCTCAGCATCGTCCGGGTTAGGGGAGAGTTTGCCACGCTGGCACGGTCGCCAGTTGTATTGTGTTTCCTCCGACACATTGGTGCGGCTGGCTTCCGGGTTAAGTGAGCAGTGTGTCAAGAAGCAGTGCGGCTTGGCAGGGTCGTGTTTCGGAGGACGCATGGCTCTCGACCTTTGCCTCTCCCGAGTCCTTACGGGAGTTGCAGCGATGGGACAAGACTGTAACTACCAATTGGATATCACGAAAAAGGGGGTAAAAAGTAACAAAAATAAATAAATACAAAATAGCAATAAAAAAATAGCTAATACATAAACGTATAATCATAGATCATAGATATGATTTGTCCAATTGGCCATATCATTATAAATGAAACCAAACATTTTATTACATTTGAGTAATTAAGTACTCTTATCCAGGGCGCCTGAAAAATTTAGGGGTCATGATTTAGGTGCACACCATTCAAAGCACAAGACTATTCAGCCAACTGGAGCACAGGGCAGCATTAAGTCAATCTTTCCTACTTGTTTCAAAGGCCTCATGGTTGAATTGAAATATGTGCACCGTGAGCAAGCAGGAGTGTTGATGGGATGAAACATTGAGCAAGTATGTGAATAGAATTTATCAGACTCAATCCCCCTGTATAGATGTTGTGAGGCGTTACATTCCTACAACGATCTTGAAAATAATTTCTAGAAAAGGTAAACACAGCTATCTGTATGGCTTTGTAAATATGAACAACCATATTCTGGCCAATTGTATAGATTTGTAAAAAAAATTGTTAACTTTTTTTTAAATGAAAAATAACTATTTTAAACAACATCAACTGTGAACTGATTTGGGCGTGTGTGTGTTAAAGAGACAGACAGGGAGGGACAAAGAGAGAGAGAGGCTACATTACTTGTACTGAAACTGTTCTCTTCTCTCTTTCAATGCAGCAAAGCGGTCAATGACTTTCTCATTGAAATCAGGCATGCTGAGGACTAGTTTACTAGTTACTTTTTAGCTTGCTGCATGATCAAATTCAGCTGATGCGCATAGCAATGCACGTAATGGCCTTTCTTGAAATGCTCACGCACCTTTTGCCTTCTCTCGCCTCATCACACTGGCTCCATCGTAAGCTTGCGCAATGAGTTTGACTTTCACGTCGTCGGCAAAAAGACCGTTCAGTCTCTCCAAAAGCACACTGGCGATTGAGACTGAGGTTGATTCCGAGATGGGAAGGAACTCAAAAAAGCGCTCCTGCACTTTGTGGTTGTCTCTTTGATGTGAACTTCTTTCAAAGAGACAATCGAGTTGCACTGAACGCTATAGCCATCTTGATAGTAGTACGTGAATTGATTGATGCTGCTACCCGCTCTTTTCTTAGTTACGTTCATGGTTACGTTACGTATGACGAAAGCGCGTAAGTGCAAGCCCTCAGAAACCCATAGAGATTGTATTGAAAGCTCTGAAATTTGAAAAAAATAGATTTTACATGGGAGTCTATGACAGACTTCTGGGCGATTTTCAACCTGACTGAAATCGCCCCAAAAGGGGGGGGGGGGGGCATTTGAAGCACGACTTTAGCCTGATTGGACATTTAGTGGCAGTGTGGCACTGTGGCAGATCAGACGTCTAGATTACAACACTGATAACTACTGTTGCCGTGATATAATTGATTAGAAAAAAAATCCCTTCCTTTTCCCGTTTGGCAGTGCGTCGCCCATATCGCCCTATTGAACACACCGCCCCTGAAGTACTCTTATCCAGAGCAACTAAAGTATAGGTCAAATATTTCAGTAGCATTCATTCCATATCAAAGGCACAAGACTAATCCCACTGGACACAGGCGTCAATTCAACGTCTTTCCCACGTTGTTTCAACGTCATTTCATTGAAATTATGTGGAAACAACGTTGAATCAACCAGTGTGTGCCCAGTGGGATGACACGACTGGTGCAGAAAGTGTGAGATTTCACTCAGAATGCAACTCAACACCCCGAAAGGTTGTGAGGCTTACTTCCACCAAAAGGCCTCTTGACCAGTCCTCCGTCTATAGCCCCTCAGGGCAATGCAGACATAGGCCTCAGATCCATGGACAATGTCTGTGTCCCAAATGGCACCCTATTCCCTATATAGTGCACTACGTTTGACAAAGGCCCATTGGAATGCATCCAATGTTCATAATAACATAGCTCTAGAACAGGATTTTTTTCCACTTTCCCACTGTGACCCCATCTTGCTCCACCCATGTTAGGACTAAATGTCACGGTAAAGGTCTGGGTGGCCTCTGGTTCTGGTTTGTTAGTAAAGGAAGTATATGGGTTTCAAGTGTGTCCTCGGTTTTCCTCTGATGTTGGCTACTCCTACTGTTTCCTAGTGAGTCATTCGTCTATCATTGGAATCACAGGAGGCTGCTGAGGGGAGAACAGCTCATGATAATGTCTGAAATGGAGTAAATGGAATGTTATCAAACACATGGAAACCATGTTTTCTGATGTGTTCGATACCATTCAATTTATTCTGTTCCAGCCATTACTATGAGCCTGTCCTCCCCAATTAACGTGCCGCCGCCCGCCTGTGATGGGAATGGAGAAAAATAAGTGAAACCCAATTTTGTATGTGGTGACTGCATCATGGGAACACATGAAAAATAATCACTTATAGAAGGATAAAAACAAGCTGTTCACACACCAGGCGCATCAGTAGACTGAATATTTTATGGTTGTTTTCGACTTCTCTATTAGGTTACTGTAGAGTACATGCCAGAAGATGTAAAAGGGTAATGAATACATTTAAAGATTGATCGATGGATCGATAGTAGCAAAATCAATCACTCTCAAATGGGAAGTTCAGTATTTTATAACTTTATGTTAGATGGGTCCTCACACTGAAAGTAGTCTTTGGCCCAGGAGAAACTGTAATTCAAACAGCCACTTGAAAACTTCACCTTACATTAGCTACCAGTAGCTAATAATTTATGGAAAAGAGCATGAGGGACCTATAAAAAATGACAAAATCAGCTGAAATTAGCTCATTTATTTGGCTTGACCTTACTTATAGGTGATTTGACAATTTTTTTGCCCCCATCACTTAAATGAATTTTTAGCTAGCGGTTGCTAAAGTTAGCCGACGTTTAAAGAAAACCAAATCACAGATTACGTTTTTATCATCTAACATTGAGTTGTAAAATACTCAACTTTCCCTTTAAAACAATCGACCCTTCTCCAGTCAAATATCAACCAGACCTATTGATCATGCTAGGATCAAACCTGTACTCAACTTCCTGTTTTCTCTCTCCTTCTTCAGGGCTGCCACCTCCACCGACCTGGTGGTGTCCATCTGTGTCATCTTCGCCATGTCCTTCATCCCAGCGAGCTTCGTCCTCTTCCTCATCCAGGAGCGCGTCAACAAAGCCAAGCACTTGCAATTTGTTAGCGGCGTCAACCCGGCCGTCTACTGGGTCGCCAACTTCGCCTGGGATATAGTAGGTTATTTTCATAAAATAAAATAATTACAGAATTCAACTTTATTTCCAATGTGAGTTGGAAATGTATATTTTTGCTGTCTTATGTAATTCCGAGCCCCCCGGACACCACACATACACACACGAGAAGCAGCACAGGGTCACCCTCAGAGTAGTGCCCCTGGAACACATTAGGTATTAAGTGCCTTGCTCAAGGGCACAACGGCAGTATGTGGCACCTGAGATTGTGATGTCAGCAACTCCCTGGTTTCCTGCCATTTTGCACCTAATTGGTTATCACACCAGGGGGAACTTAATGAGACTGCTGTGAGGAACGGATGGACAAGCACGAACCCCAAATAAAAGTATCGAAACCCCAAACCAAATTCTTTCTGGATGTTGTAATTGGTATTGTGGTGATTTCACTTGAATTCAGAGGGATAGGAGGAAGGTCACAAGTGAGGCGTGTGTCGAATAATCCACCAAACCTTCCGTCAGTGCCACATAATGCATTTTAAATTGCCGTTTAAGGTGTCCATATTAGGACATCCTTAGTAAGTAAGTTTGGATAAGGATACATAATCCTAGTGTACCTAGGAATAGATCATTCAATGGCTGTATCAAACAAATACTCATCAGCAGCAATAATGGTAAATATAATTTTGATCGCAATGGCTGTTAAAAAGCCCAGGCCTGAGTAACTGTTAGTGACTAGCGCTGAATTATTGACACTGGCAAACAGTGATGCAAAGTGGTACAACATTGACACTTTCCCTCAGGCCTAATAGCGGTAAACAGTCTATCAGGCAATAGCTCAGCACTACTAGCCATAATAATGGATGAATGCTGACAAAGTGGAAGAGAAATGTTATTATGTAGGCAGCCGAAAGGTTTTTGCCAGGAGCAGTTAGTATTTTCCATTTCCATTTACCATTTTCCCAACAATTGTAATATTTTATGGCACCGAAAAATCTTTAAAGGGATAGTATTGATTAGGGTCGAAAAGCTCTGTCAGACGGTGAGTTGTCCCTCAATGCTGTCCTAATGCTATGTGTGACTATGGTTCTCATTTGAATTATATTGCAGTTTTGCTTTTAATGTTTTGTAATCGGGCTCATGGATTTCAATGCATTATAAGACCGTGCAGAGTGCCACCTAAGTAGTGTTGAAGCCTTAGGGTACAGAGTGGGAAATGTGGAGTAGAAGTTAAAAAATGACATGCCAATTGCAGTATTTAGAGATTCTTCATCCAATATCATGATTGTAAAACTTGTTTAAGATAGAATATTTATATTATTTTATACTACGCTTTTGTAAATTGTGAGATGGTTTTCTTTAGATTTGTCCAGTCAGGCCAGCCACAGACTCGTGTCCTCGTATGAAGGGGAATAGATTGCTCTCTTGTTAATGAGCAAATGAAAGAGGGGAAGCTTGGAAGGCTAATTAAAACCTAATCTATAGATTTCAAAATCGTGTGGAATTCCCATTTACTTGAGTTAATCTTCATCTTCATCATCATCATCTTTTTCTTTCTTTCAGAGAGAGGGACCTTAGCCTGATATGTCTGGGCATCATTATAATTGTGTCATAATGACCCTATACGGTTAGATGTTACCTTCCCAGAACACCCCGCAAAGTGATAAAATGCTTAATACGGGGTTATGTGTCCTTTTTTACAGTGTAACTACATAGTCTAACAAGTGGTTATGTCTTTATTACAGTGTAACTACATAGTCCCTTGTCTAATAGTCATCGTCATCTTCCTGTGCTTCCAACAAAAAGCCTACGTGTCCACTCCTAACCTACCAGCTTTGATTTGGCTGCTTGTAATGTATGGGTAAGTAGCACCAAAATGATATTTGTATGTGCTGACTTACCCAGTTCAAATAGGTTTTCAGAAAAAAAGAAAATTGTGATTGGACTATGGATGTAATGTTTATATGGAGCAATGTAGATTCATGTTAAAATCCACCCTCTGAATGGCACACATACACAATCCATGTCTCAATTGTCTCAAGGCTTGAAAATCATTCTTTAACCTGTCTCCTCCCCTTCATCTACATTGATTGAAATGGATTTCACAAGTGACATCAATAAGGGATTATAGCTTTCACCTGCATTTTATGGAGAAATGAAGCCTCTTCCCAGAGTCTCTTCAGAGCCCTTCTCGTCTATATACCCCTCTTCATGTATCTCCCCCTATCTCCTTTCCTACTGTAGTGATTAAATAGTAAAATATGAAAGATTAAGCTTCTGTTCACGTCACCGTCTGTGTTTTCAGGTGGTCTATCACACCCACGATGTACCCAGCCTCGTTTATCTTCAGCGTCCCCAGCACGGCCTACGTGGTGCTGACCTGCGTCAACCTCTTCATCGGCATCAACGGCAGCGTGGCCACCTTCGTCATGGAGCTGTTCGATGATGAGGTAGGTGGTGCGGGTTGCCGCTTTCCTAAATCATCAAATGTACGGTGTCCATATTAGGAGCTTCAGCGTAACAAGGGGTAGGTGTCAGTGTCCTTTTGACTGTGAGGCTGTCCTAATATGCACACCGTACATACTGGGGGAAAAGTACACAAGTTTTATCAAAGAAACGATTGCTCAATCAACTATTATATTAGGATGATTTGAATTTGTTGTCTAGCTAACTGATCCCTGTCCTCGATATACCGCAGTGTATTCTTGGATAGGCTTTCAACATGTACAAGGAGGGAGCTTTTCCTCCTCGAATTACCTTTTACTTTTTACCCACTCAATGAGTTTCAAAGGTGGTATTTTCCAATTCTCTTTCATGTTTAATTGTGATGTTAGGATTGTTTCTTCGGAGAATGTGGTTCATGTATCTTTCACTGAGCGTTCATTTATACCAAAATCTTCCCTTTCTCCCGGGAGAATCAAAATACAAAGAGAAATAAAGAAAGCAAGCAAGAGAAAAAGACAGAACTGGAGAGAGAGTTAAGAAGATAGATGGAAACAATGAGGGAGGTAGAGAGAGAGAGAGATGCCACTTCTCAGTCTGTGGAAGTCAACGTTTTTGTCATGTTTGCTTGTGTTTAGACTGAATTACAAAAAAAAATTCTAAGGATGCAATTTACTTAGTTTAGCTGTTCTTTATAAGCTGGAACTCACTTTTACCAAAATGTAGCAACCCACACATACAAGTATAGTTTCTAAGTTATCCTCACCTATTTATATAATGAATAAACCACATTATATGCAGTACCAGTCAAAAGTTTGGACACACCTACTCATTCAAGGATTTTTCTTTATTTTTTACTATTTTCTACATTGTATAATATTAGTGAAGACATCAAAACTATGAAATAACCCATTTGGAATCATGTAGTAACCAAAAAAGTGTTAAACAAATCAAAATATATTTTATATTTGAGATTTTTCAAAGTAGCCACCCTTTGCCTTGATGACAGTGTTGCACACTCTTGGCATTCTCTCAACCAGCTTCACCTGGAATGCTTTTCCAACAGTCTTGAATGAGTTCCCACATATGCTGAGCACTTGTTGGCTGCTTTTCCTTCACTCTGCGGTCCAACTCATCCCAAACCATCTCAATTGGGTTGAGGTCGGGAGATTGTGAAGGCCAGGTCATCTGATGCAGCACTCCATCACTCTCCTTCTTGGTCAAATAGCCCTTACACAGCCTGGAGGTGTGTTTTGGGTCATTGTCCTGTTGAAAAACAAATGATAGGCCCACTAAGCGCAAACCAGATGGGATGGCATATCGCTGCAGAATGCTAGTTAAGTGTGCCTTGAATTCTAAATAAATCACAGACAGTGTCACCAGCAAAGAATCCCCACACCATCACACCTCCTCCTCCATGCTTCACGGTGGGAACCACACATGCAGATATCATCCGTTCACCTACTCTGCGTCTCACAAAGACACAGCGGTTGGAACCAAAAATATGAAACTTGGACTCATCAGACCAAAGGACAGATTTCCACTGGTCTAATGTCCATTGCTCGTGTTTCTTGGCCCAAGCAAGTCTCTTCTTATTATTGGTGTCCTTTAGTAGTGGTTTCTTTGCAGCAATTTGACCATGAAGGCCTGATTCACGCAGTCTCCTCTGAACAGTTGATGTTGAAATGTGTCTGTTTCTTGAACTCTGTAAAGCATTTATTTGGGCTGCAATTTCTGAGGCTGGTAACTCTAATGAACTTATCCTCTGCAGCAGAGGTAACTCTGGGTCTTCCTTTCCTGTGGTGGTCCTCATGAGAGCCAGTTTCATCATAGCGATTGATGGTTTTGCGACTGCACTTGAAGAAACTTGCTGAAATGTTCCTGATTGACTAATGATGGACTGTCATTTCTCTTTGCTTATTTGAGCTGTTCTTGCCATAATATGGACTTGGTCTTTTACCAAATAGGGCTATCTTCTGTATACCTACCCTACCTTGTCACAACACAACTGATTGGCTCAAACGCATTAAGAAGGAAAGAAATTCCACAAATTAACTTTAACAAGGCACACCTGTTAATTTAAATGCATTCCAGGTGACTACCTCATGAAGCTGGTTGAGAGAATGCCAAGAATGTCTAAAGCTGTCAAGGCAAAGGGTGGCAAATTTGTTTAACACTTTTTGGTTAATACATGATTCCATATGTGTTATTTCATAGTTTTGATGTATTCACTATTATTCTACAATGTAGAAAATAGTTTTAAAAAATAAAGAGAAACCCTGGAATGAGTAGGTGTGTCCAAACTTTTGACTGGTACTGTATGAAAACAGTGTGGACAACTAGGAATCCATTTTTTTGTTAATATCATACTTTACTGCGTTTGTACGCTAAATTAACATGCAATTTTTGACTTTGAGCCTAGCAATGCATTTAATTATCATACCTTCCACTTTAATTCACTATTGTAGATTTTCATGCAAGTGTCTTTTTCATTTGATATGTTAAATATGCTAATTATTTAACTTTGCCACAGTCTCATGTCTAATACTGTGTGTGTGCGTGTGTGTGTGTGTGTGTGTGTGTGTGCGCATGCGTGAGTGAGTGTGAGAGAGAGTGTATGTGTGCTTGTGCTTGTCCATGTGTTTTTGTGAGTGCGTGCATGCATGAGAGTGTGCATGCGTGCTTGTGCGTGTGTGTGTGTGTGTGTGTGAGCGAGTGTGTGTGTTTTAAACACTTCACTCTGACAAATTGCAACATCAGGTTTCCCCATCTGAGCTTCTGCTTCAAAAGTCAGCTAGCTCGAATCTCCACTCCAACCTTAGCAATTGTTAGCTTCACTAACTACGTTTCCATAGACAGTTTTTATGCGAGTAAAGTCATACCGTATATTTAAAAAAATCACGACAGCTGTGATCGAAACAGGACGTTTCGGTAGATTTGATAAATGGCAACAGATAATTTGTTTGTTCAACATGGTGGGATCTTTCTGTGTCTGTAAAATGAATTATGAAAGAAATGGCAGTAGAACATCCTTTATGCGCAAATATTGATATAATATCGAAGTAAACTTGGAGTCACGCGATGAAATGGTGTGTGCTCCTCCCACTACGACTCGGGGAAGCATGCAGTTTATTAGGCTACAGATGAAATAACTTCTGATGAACTTCACAGGGTGGTGAAAGTGCATGGTGATCTTGATGCTCCTTTCCAATAAATATTGAGGGTCTGATTCTGGTGACATGATGATCGATGCTTGACTGACGATTGACCCCCCAAAAAATCTTGCTCTCATCCATAATAATCTCATCAGCGGAGGCTGCTGAAGGGAGGACAGCTCATAATAATGGCTGGAACGGAGTGAATGGATTAGCATCAAACACACGGAAACCATGTGTTTGATGTACACTGAACAAAAATATAAACGCAACATGTAAAATGTTGGTCCCATGTTTCATGAGCTGGAATTAAAGATCCCAGAAATGTTCCATGCACACAAAAAGCTTATTTCTCTCACATTTTGTGCACAAATTTGTTTACGTCCCTGTTAGTGAGCATTTCTCCTTTGCCAAGATAATCCATCCACCTGACAGGTGTGGCATATCAAGAAGCTGATTAAATAGCGTGATCATTACACAGGCGCACCTTGTGCTGGGGACAATAAAAGGCCACTCTAAAATGTGCAGTTTTGTTATACAACACAATGCCACAAATGTCTCACGTTTTGAGGGAGTGTGCAATTGGCATGCTGACTGCAGGAATGTCCACCAGAGCTGTTGCCAGAGAATTTAATCTTCATTTCTCTACGATAAGCAGCCTCCAACGTCATTTTAGAGAATTTGGCAGTACATCCGACCGGCCTCACAACCGCAGACCACGTGTATGGTGTCGTGTGGGCGAGTGGTTTGCTGAAGTCAACGTTGTGAACAGAGTGCTCCATGGTGGCGGTGGGGTTATGTTATGGGCAGGCATAAGCTACGGACAACGAACACAATTGCATTTTTATCGATGGCAATTTGAATGCATAGAGATGCCGTGACGAGATCCTGAGGCCCATTGTCATCCATTCGTCCGTCGCCATCACCTCATGTTTCAGCATGATAATGCACGGCCCAGTTTCTCAAGGATCTGTACACAATTCCTGGAACCTAAAAATGTCCCAGTTCTTCCATGGCCTGCATACACACTAGACATGGCACCCATTGAACATGTTTGGGATGCTCTGGATCGCCGTGTACACAGCGTATTCCAGTTACCGCTAATATCCAGTAACTTCGCAAAGCTATTGAAGAGGAGTGGGACAACATTCTACAGACCACAATCAACAGCCTGATCAACTCTATGCGAAGGAGATGGGTCGCGCTGCATGAGGCAAATGGTGGTCACACCAGATACTGACTGGTTTTCTGATCCATGCCCCTACTTTTTTTTAAAGGTATCTGTGACCAGCAGATGCACATTTGTATTCCCAGTCATGTGAAATCCATAGATTAGGGCCTAATGAATTTATTTCAATTGGATGATTTCCTTATATGAACTGTAACTCAGTAAAATCTTTGAAATTGTTGCATGTTGCGTTTATATTTTTGTTCAGTATATTTGATGCCATTGCACTTATTCTGCTCCAGCCATTACCACGAGCCCGTCCTTCACCAACCTCCTGTGAATCATGTAGACTAGCCTACCCACACAGCATAGCTAGCCTACCCACACAGCATGCTATTTAATGCAACAGTTTTTGTGACAAAAATGAAAATGGAAACACATTGAACTTTAAATTTTTATTCGGTACATAAAAACGTAAGCGAAAAAGTACATTTTGTGCGTACTACATCATCACGCACTGATTTGGTGGAAACACACCACTTGTGGGAAGATCTGTTGCCAATTGGATGGAAACCTAGCTTTGTCATACGCTCATGTCCTTTGAACATTCATCTTCTTTCCACTCTCCCTGATTTCTCAGACACAGCTTAATGTTGGTTGTCTTCCTTTTTACATAACGAGACAAACTCATTTGCATAGCGATTTCATTATCGTCATTGCCGTCGTTCATCATTGGTTAGTT